GGCCCCCACGTGGTTACAGAGTCCTGCTCGGTCAGCCCTGTGTGCTTGGACACAGCAAGGTTCCCTGAGAAAGTGGGGCTCAGGTGCGCCCCGGTACTCCCAGCCTGAGCTGAGCCTTGCCCAGAAGGGGCCATTCCTATCCCTCCTACCCTTTGGAGGGACTAGGGTTTTGGCGCAAGTCCCACGTCCTGAGCACCCTTGGCGGGACCCCGACCAAAGGTCACATGTTGTGGGCTGAGACCTGAGGCTCTGCCTGCCCAGGTCAGAGGGCGCCCAGGTCAGAGGCTCTAGGGAGCTGGCCCTCTCTTGTGACTGGGACTGTCCTCCCATGTGGCATGCCTATTCCTGGGGGAGTGGCTGGGTGGGGCACACGGCAGCAACAGGCTGTCTGGTGGCTGCGAGGTGAGTGTGCTGCTGCCATTGACGCACTGTTCCCTTGTCTCCTGTCGCTGCCGCAGCGCGAGCTCAGTGTCAGGTAAGATGTCCCGCACCTGTCCACACAGACAGGCCTCCCCAGCACCCACAGCGCCAGGACCCGGGGCTGTCTTCACTGCTGCGCCCACCCTCGGCAGCCTGGTCCAGGCACAGAAGGGGTGTGTGGTGGCCTTTCCTTTTGGGCAGATGAGGAAACTAAGACACAGAGAGGTTTAGGGACTTGTCTAAGGTCACCCTAGGCTGACCAGACCTCCCTGGAGGCTCCCTCCCAACCCCAGAGGCTCAGCTGCCTGGCCCCCAGGGCAATAGCCGCAGGCACAGCCTCAGCAGCCAGAGGTCTGGGGCACCTTTGCCTGAGCAGAAGGGCGGACCGCCCAGGTGGTAGTGCCCCAGCCCTCTGGCCCCTGCCCACCCTGGGGCCAGTGTGCAGACAGAGCCAGGGAGTCCTGGGGTGCTGTCCTGTCCCCACACAGCGGGCAGCATGAATAACCTGCTTTCTGTGGAGTCAGGACGTGCTGGGCTGATTTCCAGCTGCAGGAGAGGTGGCCAGGGCCACGCTCAGAGCCCCTAAGCTCCACTGTGCTGGAGCCGCTCGCTGCTGCCACTGCGTGGTCCCTGGCTCACCACGTGGGCCCTGGCACCCGCGGTCTCCTGCGCCAGGCCCACTGCAAGCCTCTGCTCTGAGAGAAACAGCTTCCGGGGTTTCTGGTTGGAGAAAACATCTAAGCACAGCCAGGGACAGTTCCCCTCCTCTGTGAGCCCAGGACCTGGCACCGCCCCCACCTCCGCAGCCAGGAGGTGCTGCCTGTGGGTGGCGGGGTGACATCCTTGGGCACCCTCCAGGGCTTCCTGCGTCTGGTCCTGGCCCTCTGGCCTCTGCTCCTCCCCAGGCCACTGGCTGCAGGGTCCGTGCTTCCTGCTGTGTGGTCTTTTCTCTGTTTTTTTCCTCCTCTCTGTAAACCTGGGGTTGCCTGCCCTTCCCTCCCCGACATGCTCTGCACCTCCTCACCTGGCAAGCAGAGGAAGCTGCGCTGGGATATGTGAGGACGAGTGCAGTGCCTGGTGTGGTGCCTGGGGGCTGTGCTGGCTGCACCTGCCTGCCCTTCCTCTCCCCTCCCCTCCTCTCCTGGCCACACACCTCCCCGCCTGGCTCCTCCTGACCCTTCCCCGTTCCCTACTCCTGTTCCCCGCTCCCTCCAGGCATGGGGCAGCAGGGGCGCTTCAGCCAGCTTTGTCCCCCTCCTGCCCTCACATCCCCTGGGGGGAAGGGTCAGGGCTTGCCCCAAAGCTCAGCTGTTCGCTTAGAGCAGGGGTGGGGAACACCTGCCTGTATCTGGCCCTCAAAATCATGAGGTCTGGCCCTGCCAAGGCATTAGGGGTGACTTCCATGCATGTGTGACCAAACAGAGCAGGCTAATCTTAAGTTGATAATTGTGTATGGCCCACGAATGAGGTTATAAAGATCGTGTGGCCCTTGGCTGGGAAGAGGTTGCCCACCCTGCCTTAGGGAGAGGTGTCAGGTGGGGACTCAGTGCAGGCAGAGGCCGCCCACTGCCTGGCCCCAGCTTCGGGGAGGGAGGCTCCCACTGCAGCTGGCTTCCTACCTAAAGGTCGGCTGCTCTGCCTTCCTGTCCTTTAACCTTTGCCTTGTCCCTGAGGGGGCGGGGCCATCTCAGGCCAGGGCCCTCCCTCCAGATGAACCGGGAGGCGGCGGCTCTCACCGGCACAACCGGCCGCCCCACCGCATCAGCCCGCAGTGTCTGGAGCGGGAGGGTGGCTGTGGGAGAAGCGCTCAGTCAGGTTGTCCCCCAGGGCCGCGCTGGCCTCGGCGCATCAGTGCCACCCGCTGCCGCGGACGCT